TGATAAAGCAAGGTAGCTGAAGAACAGTCCTATGCTTCTATGTGGTAGTATCAATAGGTGTGTGAGCCCTGTGGGTAATTTTAATAAAATCTGTTAAACAAATATTTGTCTGTTTAAAAATTTACATGAAATAGGTACTCAAGTGTGGAGTTTATGTTTTCACCAATTCATATTGCTTTAATTACTCTTAGAAGTAATATAATAAAAATATTGGCTAGATAGCTGTAGAGAGGTTTGGAGACAAGATGAGTTCTTTAATTTTTATGATGCTGCCATCTAGTGAAACTTTTGTAGAATCACTTTGTGTACCATTCAACTTTGTATCATCTGGTCTTTTAACCAAAGTGGTTATATTTTAATAAATTATGTTTTATGCTATCTATGGGGAAATAATTGTACATGCATTGAAACATGTTGTAGGATCATGAGTGTTGTTATTGTTTTTTTTTAATGTGGTGCCACAGATGTGACCACAAGGCTTTTAATAATGGGATAAAGTAGGTGAAGTTTTACGGTTTCCTCATTGTGCATATTCTTTATAAATAATTGATAATAAAGTGCTGAGTTTTCTGATCCCTGAGGTTTCCAAGAAAATTAAGTTGTAAAATCGTATCTATGAAAAGTTGAGTTGTAAAAAATGTAAGCCTGCAAACCCAGGTTTTGGTAAACTCTAAATTTTGATATAAATTAATTGTATTTTTTTCTATCACTTTCCTAAATCTTATGTTAACACAGAGTGCCTGTTGTATTTTTGTGATATGTGTTGCTTCTTTTTTGTGAGAAACAAAGCCCAAATACACCTCCTCCCCAAATTAGTTATATTTTACACAGTAAAAACTCTTTCTGAGATGCAAGTTTTATCCACAAGGCTTCTAATTAACTGATTCTTCAATATACTGAGTGTAGAAACTATGCTCTCTAAAGAAACGGTCAGAAAACTTTTTCTGCAACAGGTGGGATAGTAAATAGTTTAGAATTTGTCAGCCTTATGGTCTCTGTTTCAGCTACTCAATTCACCTGCAAGAGCAACCATAGATAATATTTAAACAAATGAGAAGGTTAACTTTATTTATTAAGAACAGGTTGTGGCCTAACTGGTTTGGCTCAGTGGATAGAGCGTCTGACCTTCGGACTGAAAGGTCGAAGGTTTGATTTCGGTCAAGGGCATGTACCTTGGTTGCGGGCACATCCCCAGTAGGTGGTGTGCAGGAGCCAGCTGATTGATGTTTCTCTCTCATCAATGTTTCTAACTCTCTAGCCCTCTACCTTCCTCTCTGTAAAAAACAAACAAACAAACAAAAAAAAAGCACACAATAAAATATGTTTTTAAGAAAACAAAGAAACCAGGTCATAGTTTGCATCCTCTTCTCTAGAGAAGGTACCCATAATAGCAGTTTGGGTTTATTTATTCTAAAGAGGTGTTAGAACAATCTAAAATTGGCTCCTCTGCAATTATTTCCTTTTAAAACCTCAATTGATAGATGTTTCTTCAAAGTGGAAGAAAATTTAAGGTTTTGAGAATGTAATATTATCTGTGCATATAGTAAACAATAGAAGAACTGAGAGGTAAAACATTCTGCAAAGTGAACTATCAGCCTCCCCCCATTTTATGATTAGTTGTTGTTGTTTTTAAATTAATGTTTAGGTAAAAAACTGTCTTACTGTAGAATGAATCACTGTATTCTCTAAGTAAAACTTATGCTGATATGCAGAAAGCTAAGTAGTTTTGATGGTTGGCCATTAAATTAGAAAGTTACTACTTAGGTACAGTTTGGATGATATAAATTCACTAATCCTGATTGTTCTTTTGGACATATTTGTTTCTAAAACACTGAATTCTACCAGGCAAAACACTTGAAGCCATACAATTAAATAAGTCAGAATAGACTCAGGTAATAAGGAGCTGTTAAAGATTCCAGTCAATGTAAAGGAAGAACACAGCATAGAGTAAAAAACATCATTATTTTATGAGCTGTGTGTAAGGGAACACAATACCCTCTATCATCAAAGTTCCTTTAGCTGGATTAATAATCAAATAGACATGAGACAGTTTAGCAAGATAAAACCAAATTAGAGACACATGCAGAGCTGGCTTAGAGATAGAAAGGGAACATGGGTATATAAGACATTCTGGCCTAGGGATGAGGTAATGCCCCTGGGAAGGTCAAAGGATCATTGCAGGATGACAAGAAGAACAGATGTTTAGTAAATAGAAGTTCGCCCTGCCCTAAAGATAAACCAACCAAAGTTATCTCTGATAATCTCTGATTATGGCCAAAGTCCCCAATTCCGGTTGTTTTTTAGGTAGGCAAAAGGAGGGGCAGCCAAAACCTGTTTGGCTCAGTGGATAGCACGTTGGCCTGCGGACTGAAAGGTCCTGGGTTCGATTCTGGTCAAGGGCAAGTACCTTGGTTTCGGGCACATCCTCAGCTGGGGGTGTGCAGGAGGCAGCTTATCGATGTATTTCTCTCATCAATGTTTTTAACTATCTCTCTCCCTTCCTCTCTGCAAAAAATCAATAAAATATACATATAAAAAAAAGGGGGAGGGGGCAGAAGTTTCTCTTGAGCCTGCTGCTAAAGTTGCCTCAAAGTCATCTGCACACAGCTGAGGCAGATCTTGGAATGACTGGCTCTTAGCCCCCACAGTCACCTTTGTGTCAGCTGATGGGGGCAGGACTTGGCTTTAGGAATCCTGCTAGTCTCAGCTGAGCTCATGCAGATATCTCTAGCTCAATAAAGGAGATTGGGGAGACAAGCAGAACCAAGATGAGCTCATTAAGGTCAATTCTGATGAATGTTTTTTCATATTCCACCTGGGCCAGCAGGTTGGCCAAGCTAGTCCTTCTCACAGAGTTGGCAGAAGGCAAGAGAGAGCAAGTGCTTTAAGAATTCTACTTGTATTCCATGTGCTAACATTCCACCAGTCAAAACAATTCACCTGGCACATCCAAGTTACAGAGAACTGAAATCCACCCACAGTGGAAGGAACTGAAAAATCACATGGCAAAGGACAAGAAGGCACAAAGAATCAGAACTGTTAAGGCAATTTACCACAACATGTAAACACTTGAATTGATTAAATTATGTGTTGGCAGACATGGGATTAAGTGATAAACTAAAAAATGTCCATTGATGTCTTCAGTTTAGTAGGATACACTCTAGCAATAGATCTGTAAAAGGTTTTTATGCTATGTTTACATCTCTTTACATTTATTGTATTTGTAATTAAGACAATTTTAAAATATATTAACAAACCTATTGCATATTAACATAAATTATATATGGTTAAGGAAAAAAAACCCTATAGTTTCTGAAATAAGCAAAAGAATGTTTTACATTTGGCAAATTGCTTTACTGTTTGGTTTAATAGAAGACAGCTTTTTTTGTGCGTGTGTAATCTGCTTCTGCATTCAATTTTTGTTTTTTTCTTTGTAAAGAATACAAAAAAAAAATTGTTCAGACCAGACGTATAGTCAGAAAAAAGCAGCAGTAGTTTAATTGTGAATATTTTTTGATACTGCACCTGATTTTGACAAGTGAGAACTTCTTGGGAGTTGTAGTGCAGAACACAAAACAAAATTACTGAACTGTCTGTACTTTGTTACTGTGAAATTCATTGGTTGATTTTGCATTCTGAATGGACTATTTATCCATGATATGTAACATCAAGATTGGTCATTTGATTCACTGAGCTATGAATATTTTCACTGAGCTATGGATATTTTCCAATTACTTACATATTTCACTATGTATTATTTTAAAACTATATATCACTATTAAGCTCAGGAGAAATATCTTTAAATACTGGGGGGGGGTCATATTCATAGAAGTGAATATACGTTATTTAAAATTTTAATTTCTCTTAGAAAGTACTTTAAAAAAATACAAACAAATATTGTGTTTTCCTTGAATTGACAAATTCATACAATTTCTTACTATTGTCCATCAGTTTCTTTTTTTTTAAATATATTTTATTGATTTTGTACAGAGAGGAAGGGAGAGAGATACAGAGTTAGAAACATCGATGAGAGAGTCATCGATCAGCTGCCTCTTGCACACCCCCTACTGGGGATATGCCCGCAACCAAGGTATATGCCCTAGACTGGAATCAAACCCAGGACCCTTCAGTCCCCAAGCCGACGCTCTATCCATTGAGCCAAACCGGTCTCGGCAATTGTCCATCAGTTTCTCTTCCATGGGTGGGAAGTGAGGTCCTTCATCAAGTAAAAGTGTTCAGATTGCAACTCAAATAATCACATGCGTGCATTACTTTGAGACAACAATCTAGTTCAGAATGTGGTAAAAAATTTTGTGTACTTCCCATATTAAACCACCAAATATGAAAATTTAGGTTTTGAGGTTTAATACAAATTCATCATTTTTGCAGATTTATCAAGGATATTTTAAATAGAATAACCTTTCTCCCCCACCCTGTAACTGGATGGCTTTGATATGCAGTGACAACCAGTACAGTCTGGGGCCCCTGCCTTGATTTTATACTAAGGTGCCAGCAGTTTTGCCCATCACTGCTTTTGCATTATCATTGCAAATATCAACACAGTGGAGAAGTTAAAGAATGTTTGCTGTTATGAAAATTGTTCTGACATAAAAGCGTTTTTGGGAATGCCCAGGATTTTGTGATTCACTCTTAGTGAGCCACTGCTCCAAAGGATGAACCAAATTTCTGTTATATTAGCTTGTCGAAGATTTTCTTTTTTTAAAATTTTCATCTGAAAACAATCTCTCATTGTCCCTTTTGTTTTTGTTTTTTAAATTGTATTGTTTAAAGTATTACGTATGTCTCCTTTTTCCCAGCCATTCCCACCCCCGACCACATGCTCTCACCCCCCCTACTGTTTGTGTCCTTGGGTTATGCTTATATGCATGCATACAAGTCCTTTGGTTGATCTCTTTGTCAAAGATTTTCTTAAAGATATGTGTGTTTACTATTTCTAATCATTAAGCAAATTTAAAACTTGTTATTATGTTCTCCTCCAGGGTTGTTTTGTTGGCTTTGATCTAGCACATGCAGTTGGAAATGTTGAACTCCACTTACATGACTGGGGAGTTGACTTTGCCTGCTGGTGCTCCTATAAGGTACAAACTAGTTAATATATTTACATCCTTTTATTTCCCACTAACATCAACCTAATAAAAACACTGGAAAGTTGACCAATTTTAGCTATTTGAATTACTTTTCTCCATTTAAGTAGTATATTTTCTGATTTTAGTTAATTATAGAATCATCCAATCTTATAGTGTGATAATTAAATTCTGGTGTTTCCATCTACTATAGAGTACTTATTCCTTCAATTCCCTGGCTGCTATAAAAAGTCAGGAGATTATGGGGAAAATAACAACACCTCACACTTAAAAATTAATTCAAATTAAGTTTTTAGTATTGGTGGGTTTTTAAAAATTTGTTGTAAAATTTCTACTTGTATAAAATAATTCTTATGGAATAAAGTTGCATTTGATATTTGAAGATAATTTAATTGACAGGGGAGCAAAGAAATGAAACCAATTTTAATCAAGGTGTTTTTAAAATATACTTTTATTATTACTTAAATATTTGTGACAAAATAATTGAAACTAATGAGCTTTGAAATTTGATTGACTTCAGTGGAACTGTTATCTATTAATTGGGGCAAAATTTTGTCAAAAAAGTAATAGCTATTTATTCTCATTTAACACTTCCATGTTTTATTTGTTTTTCTTTGAACAAGATGACTCAAAATTAATTTTATTATGAATGTTCAAATAATCACATACATTGAACTGGTCAAAAGTTGGTTTCTTAACAACAACAACAAAATAAGATTACATTGTTAATCTTTGTCATATATTCAGGTAAACCCATATAATTTAATTCATTTTCAATCCAGTATTTAAATTCAGGAGCTGGAGGTCTCGCTGGTGCCTTTGTCCATGAAAAGCATGCCCATACAATTAAACCTGCGTGAGTACCATCTTTAGATTTTTCTTTGGTGATAAATACATTGATTTGCATTAATAATTTGTTAAATTTACATAAATTCTTAAAGATGCTATCCATTAAGAAGCTGGATTGATTACAATCATTTGACTACTGTATTAACAATGATGTGCTTTATGAGAAATAAATGCTTCCCAAAGAGCTCAATTGGTTGAACAAGAAATGTAATCACAAAAAGGGAGCTTCAGTGCTAACGGTGAGTCACTGTAATCATGTAGAGCAGATGGTTTAATGCAAAGAGACTACTTCATCTTTTCCCCCAAAATTAGACTTCAGAAAAGTTCTGATTTCTCACATTGAAGAATAAATCAAAGGCAACAAGAGATGTGCAAAATAGAGCCTTAAATGTGGTGTTTTATTACTAAAATCACATCTACCTCCAAAGCTAGAACATAATATGATGATCTTGTAAGAAATGTCTTCTGTCCTAAGAGATTTTATCACCCATGAAAAATGAAGAAGCTGAGCACTAGACAACAGACTGCTGACTTAAAAAGCAGCGCTTTTTAAAAATTTTTATATAACTTACTTCATTTTTTTCAGAGCAAGTGTAAATGCAAATGTGATGCACCAACACAGAGACACATTTTTATTTGACTAAGGAACTCACCGTGTTTCTTTTACTTTTATCTGGTATACAGATGAATAAATAATATTCTTGGAGATTAAAAAAAAAAAAAAGCCCATACCTTTCACAGTTGTATCAGAGCATGTGTGATAAGGAGACTGGCTCTAGTAACATAAGTAATACAATGATATTTGATTAGTTTTCTTAATCTTCCCAGTCACTGACGGAGTGTTAAAATCTTTTTAAGAATTGAAGTTGAATTAGTAATAAAGGTTGGAGCACCTCATATTTCTGAGGTTCTATGTATATGAATTCTAGAAATTTAAGATCATTTCCTATAGTTCATTTAATCATGTATAAATTTCTTCAAGATTTTAAAGTTTTAAAATTAAATAGAGTTTCTCTAGACAGGTATTTTTCAGGCAGACTTCTTCTAATGATGGTCAGTACATTAGATTTCTCCCCGTGTCCTAAATTCTCTGAAAAGAATATAAACCATATATCATAAGAATCTCATCTTATATAATAAAAGGCTAATATGCAAATCAACCAAATGGGTAGGACAACCAGTCACCATAATGTGCAGTGACTACCAGGAATCAGACGCTTAATATAGGAGCTGCCCTCTGGTGGTCAGTGTGCTCCCATAGGGAGAGTGCTGAGCCCAACAGCAGTAGCAGGAGCCTTTCCCGCCTCCGAGGCAGTGCTAAAGAATATCCAACTGATGGCAGGAAGTGGGCCTAAGCCACCAGTCAGACATCTCCCAAAGGCTCCCAGATTGCAAGAGGGTGTCCCCAAGCTAAGGGACACCCCCTACCCCCCCTCTGAGTGCATGATTTTCATGCACAGGCCTCTAGTGTGTAGTATTAAAAGCCTCTTTTCAATTTTAGTAGACTTCATGAGTTACATTTTATCTAGCATACTTCTTTTCTGGTATATAATGTATTGCTTGCTTTTGTGTGAAGATCCATCACTCTGAACACTTTCTATTCTCCACTTATTTTAATTGTAATAGAGGATCTGACATATATAATCCCAAAGAGCAATCTGGTGGGAGTGGCAGTGTGTCTCAAGTTGTAGAATCCCAACATTCTCTGGTTGCTGGAATGGCTAAGTCCATGCTCCCAGGAGAAAGACCGTATAAGGCAGTCCAGATTCATATGCTAGTTTGACCACTTGCTGGTCCATGACCTGCAGAATGGTCCTTGGCATTCTGTTCTAGCTTCAAACTAAAGTCAAACAGTGTCAGCATCTACCTCAAATTGCTGTGAGAATAAAATGGGATGATGCCTGTAAAGCACTAAGCACAGCCACTTGTGCGTTGTATGTGATCCACACATGTAGGCTAAGAACTTGCATTTTTAACTGGTAGATTTTTCAGTAGCAAAGATCAGTTCTCTCAAGCACAAAACATAACCCCAAGCATCACATTTTCTGACCTTTAGGACGTTATATATTATAGTTTTGTGTCTAAGTAAGACCACGTTCATTTTCACAGGTCTTTGATAGCCTCACTGTGTAAGTTTCCATTTCTTGATTCCCTCTTGTATCAGTAATGAGTTGAATGAGATATTTATGTGTGTTTATTTTATATTTGTAGGAGAGTAACGCTTTTAACTTTTATGAAAATTATACTTTATTAACTATCTTTGCATTTCAACTATTTGGCATTGAAGACTGACAAGACCCACAACAGGCTTGACTCACAAAGCCCGCCTTATAGAAAATCCTAGTTGTTGTTTATTTGACTGTTAAAGCTTTTTTTGATGTGCTGTCAGAATGTCTAATTCCAATGGTACCAACTTAAACCCTATAGGGAATGTAACCAATATTGCTGTTGCAAATTTTGTTGCTTAAGAAAGGGTGACATCTAGTGGCTAAATATATTATTTCAAATAAGTAGTATTCAAATAACATTTATTTTCCTGGTTGAATCTTTCAATCCTTATCAAGTATATTTTAATATATATATATTAACATATACTTGATAAGGATTGAAAGATTATATATATCTAATATATACTTGATAAGGATTGAAAGATTATATATATATTGTATTTTTTTTCATTTGGCTCTATATTTATAGTATAGTAATTGTGTAGTCAAAGCCTTCAATAAAGAGAACAAGAGGAAGGTGGAAATTAGTGAGAGGTATTCTAGGTATGCTAGGTTAAACAGCATGCACACGTGTTCATCAGGGCTGGGCAAGAAGGGCATTGTGGCCACCAGGTGTAGAGAGTGGATCTCAGGATTTGTAACCCTGCATTGTAAAAGTGTAATGTTCAGTATATAATTTTGAAATATCTTTTAAATGATGTTTCCACTAACAACTGGTAAATTACATCTCTACCAAGATATTTCACTTCCTTTTTTGTTTTGTTTTTAAATAGGCATGTTGGCTATTGTTCAAAACCAATGACCTAAGACCTTTTCCAAAAACATTTTGCCAATAAAGAGGATGAATAGAGGTCAGAGTCAATCCACTGCATTAAGCATCATAACTCAAGCTGTTAGTCTCAACCAGAATTTGACCTTTTCCTAGTTTATCATCCCTTTTTTCTCTTTCCAGTGTCATATGCTAACCCTTATATGTAGCTAAGAATTATACTAAATTAAGACTACTCATGAGTAAATAGCATCTTGTTCTTTTTTTCCTTGAGGTCTGTCATCTATTTAGTCTGCAAAGTTAGTAATTATTGCTCTGAGAAATGAAAGAGAATACTTTCAATTATAAAAAAAATGACAATAAAAATGTATCACTAAAAAAGTGCCTAAATACCTTTGAAATTGTCTTTTTACCTTGATAAATGTTGTATTTTTTGGTACACTTTATACCAATACTGACCCTTTTGATTTTTGTGACTTCAAATATTCCTGAATTCCATAAAGAGATTATCCTGTAAGGTCCAAAAACTGCAATTCAAGGTCCCACCATCTTTCCCCCACATTTTTATTTTAACATTTTTACTGATTTCAGAGAGAAAGAGAGAGGGAGAGAAATATAAAAATATCAATGGTGAGAGAGAATCATTGATTAACTGCCTCCTGCACCCCACTACTGGGGATTTAGCCCACAATCTGGGCATGTGCCCTGATCAGGAATCAAACCATGACCTCCTGTTTCCTGGGTCAACACTGACACACTGTCAAGCTCCCCTCCTCCCTGCACCACGCCCCTCTTTTTAGAGAGATTCTAGCATGAATATAGGAATGGATCATATCAGCTATTAAGATCCCTTCTATCATTTACTTTTTGGCCCTGTCCAATGACATCACATATACCAAAGAAATGCTGTTCCCCACTTTTCATGCTAGTGTAACAAACTTTCCAATGTTCCCATGTACTAATTAGATCTCTTGAGATTCTCATTTCTCCTGGAATTTTCAAAAAGCTTTCTGAGTGCCTGAGAATGGAGCTTAATGACAATTTTGATGAAAATGCTAGAATTTCAAACCATGCCAACACTTTTCCATAATCATCTAGAGGTGTTTGATTGAAGGCTTTAAATAGAGATGACATTTTTCTAACTTCATTAAGAGCTTGAGTCATCTCCTTTATTGTAATAAGCAATTTACAGGTTAAAAAGGCCTAGCCAAATTGGCTGGCTGACTTTAGTGTGTGGCGAGGGCAAATCTTAGAACTCAGAAAGGTATTATTATCATTTGGCAATTTGAAGGAAAAAAAAAAAAGGCACTACAAACAACATTCAGAAAAGCATAAGATAATATAAAAGTAAGCATCAAGATTTTAGAAAAAAAGATTTAATAAAAGATAAGCCTATGCCATGCTTGACCCAACTTTACAATTAAGGTTACAAGGTTACATGGTGAGGACATCTAAAGCACCTTTATTCGGGCCAATGCTCACTGGATGTATGTGATTCCACATACTTCTCCAGGCAGCTGGAGAGAGCCATGGCCCCAAACTTATCTATAATTTAAACCTTGTTTTGGATTCTCAGAATTCCTTTCTGACTTACTAATGATCATGTCCTTATCTGGTATCTGCATAAGTTCTCCTTGCTAAAGAGAGAACAAAGAAGTATAGGTGGCAGTAGCAAGGTGTGTGAATTTACAAGACTCCCAACCAGATACTTTCAATTGGGATAGGCCTGTATCAGGAAATTCTGAAGTGACAGTTTTCACAATCTCTAGCTGAAATATCACACACACTTCTCAGGACATCTGTTCTACCTATTTAGCCTATGATGGAGTTAAGTGTTCATTATTATCATGGAGGACTTCTCAGCCACAAATTCTTAACCTCTCAGCCACTTGGCAATCTCCTACGACATTGATGTTTACCTCACACAGGCCTAAGCTTCCAATGTACCATTTTCTCTTGCTTCTGTTCCAATGTGTGTGATTAATCTTCTGTATTTTACAAGGATTCTCT